CTGGCAAAGTGCCGTTCTTTATTAACCCCCAAACGTGGCCAATTCAGCCGTTGCTGTTAGCCCCCCTCATTACCGCCCCCCCCCCCCCCGTACATCTGCCCCAAGGACCTGTTCTTACAGTGCCACTGTGCAGCCATTTGATTCCGACCCACAAGGATGTTTTATGCTAATCTTTCGCTCTAACAAAATCCAACCAAATCCCTTCTGAAATCAGATTCAGCAGTTGCTGACAGAGGTTCTGATTACCGGCAGAAGGAAAGCTGGCAAACAGAGCTCTGCGACGTTCCAGGAGAACATTTGTGCAGCATCAGGATTTGATTCTCATTATATGTGCTACGCTTTATGTAGGTATGTATACATAACCGCTGGGTTTTCACCCCTCCATAACCGCAGCTGCTCTCTGAGGCTTCCCCAAGGGCCTCGAAAACATTCTGTAGGCATCCCTGAATGCAACTGAAGCAGGATCAAAAGTTGCGGTCAATCCACATCCTGCCCGAAGGCCCAAAGGTTCCAGAAACTGCAGCCTAGCATTAAAGGAGGAGAGAGCGCTGCCCCTTGAAACCCAGCCTGTATGCAGCACACCATACAGCCTGCCTCAGGCTGGGGCTCCGCTTCAGAACAAAGGGGGCTGCGCAGGCAGAAAGGACAGCAGGCAATTCATCCTTCCCTGGCGGTGGACTGTGTGAAATACCTCAAGCCTGGAGGATTACCAGAAGTTTGCGACTCATTTAGAATTACAATTTTGTGTGTGAATGAAAAACCACAGGCTCGCCAGTTCCACATTTGCATTTTTGGCCACCAGCTTCCATTCAGAGCTACCATATTTTTCGCTCTATAAGACACACTTTTTCCCCCCGCAAAAGTAAGGGGAAATGTCTGTGCGTCTTATAAAGAGAATGTGTGTGTGCCCGACGCCCAGGACACTGCCGGCCCGCCTGTACCATGTGGCACCACCTGGCTGGCACGCGCTTGGCGTGCCCTGCTCCGCGTCCCCACCCCCCAGGCGCAGGTGAGAGCTGTTCATCACAGGTCGGTGTGTGTTTTCAAATGGCAACCCGTCTTTTAATGAAGCCCATGGGGAAGTGATGGGGAACGTGCCTGCGATTTTCAGGAAGCTTTCCATGGATCAGTTATCTGTTAGTTGATCAGACACATTTTTTTGGGATCAGTGGATATTTGAACAGCATTACCTTCATGTATGAAGTTTATTCTTCAAAGGCTACTTAGTCTGCTGTGTGTTTGATTTACCATACAATATCTCATTTTTTGTCAGAAGTTTTTTTCTATTATTTACTAGTAGGGCAGTGTGGACATTACTGGCTTTTTTAGATTTGTTATTGAATTGTCTGCAGCAGCTCTTGTATAACTGGTGTAGATTGTGGATTCCTTCAGTAATTCCACTACTGACTAAGAAAGTGATGTCAGTGATTGTGAGCAACAGAGCTTCATAAATTCTGACTCTAGTGATGATGAGTTCTATGGGTTCAACGAAAACTAGAAGAGTACTCGAACTTTAAAGTCTCTCTTTTGTTAATGACAGTGATGATGGTTCTTAATGCCACTGTTGACTGCTGTTCACTTTACAAGGTTGAAATACAGTATTACTGTATTCTGTTATAGTTTATTAAATAGTTTAGTAAACCATTTGATTCAGAATATTTTTTTCTTGTTTTCCTCCTCTAAAAACTAGGTGTGTCTTATGGTCAGGTGCGTCTTATAGAGCGAAAAATACGGTATATTGCAAGCTACATTAAATCCGCAGCTTGCAGCTGATCTAAATGTTTCTTTTTTTAGTTTTGTGGAAGTGTGTGGAGCCCAGACTAAGATCAGTACCACCCCATGCAGGTAAGGATAAATTAAACCTTAATTAAATTAAATTTTTGGTAGGGAGATGGAATTTAAGGGGAGCGGTGGGAGCAAGTTAAGCCCTGCAGCCACCACCACAGTCATCCCAGTCCCAAACAGGGTCCCACTTACTTCCACTAAGGCAAAAAGTAGAAGTCAGCCGCACACAACAGATTTAATGAGTGGCAGAGTTTAACCTGCAATGGCCTTTCCAACAGATTGGGAGCAAGGAACAAAAACAAGCAAGCAAGCAAGCAAGCAAGCAAAAAAGCCTGACTCCTTCTCCAGATTCTACCTGATTTGAAATCAGCATCCCCGATTTGCATTCCAATTCGATAACAAGTTTGTGTAGGAAAGCTTGAAATGTCCTTCTCAAGGTGTAGTGTCACAGCAGTGACACTAAGCTCTTAAAATGCACTGGCCTTTTGGCCCCAGACATTTTGCCCTTGGCCGTGTCTGCCATTGGATTGCGGCCCCCAAGGCCTTCTCCAAAACAGAGTTTGGCCCTCGGGCCGACTGCGCGTTCTTCACAGGGGCCGCCACTTGGCAGTAGCAAACACGCTTTGTGTCCACATCCCACCTAAAGATCTCAGCCAGCAGCAAAGCAGGGAAGGACCTCAGTTTCTGGCCCAGGAAGCACCTGCCTGTTACAGTGGACAACGGGTACCCCAGGGCATGGCAGCTCCTTCTGATCCTCCAGCTGGGCTGCAAGAATCACAGACTCCCTGTCACCAAGGAGGGAGGGGGCGGGCCCATTTTTCCATACTTCAAAAGTTAGATTCAGCCCGGAGTTAGACGGCAGGGCGGCTGGCCACAGGACCAGCTGAGGCTTGTTAAGCACCGCTGCGAACATATTAAGCTGGCGGGCGGCTGGGCGGCCTCCGCTCTAAGCGGAGCTGTAATTATCTTAGTGGGATCAATGCACTTCCCGTAAAATCAGCTCCTCCGTGTCCCAGCCCCAATTACAAAAGTGTAAGGAGTCAGCCTTGCGGGGCGAGCCGTCCTCAAACTGCAGAGCCAGCAGTTGCAACACATTAGCTAATTACCACTGGCAGTGTTTTTGCTGGCAGCCGGGAGGAAGCAGGAACGCTGCGTTAAGTGCCATACTCACAAGAGCGGGTGAAGCTGTGCTGCCTGCCCAGGAAGGCTTCTCCTTGCCCTGATCTCTCGCTGGTCTGCGAGGCAGAGCAGAACCTGCCGGGGCTGCAGCAGACTTTCACGGGCCGCCTACAGGCCATGGACGGGACGTTAGGTGCCTAGGGCATTCTGCCTAGGCTGGCCAGCCTGGCAGTCCCTATCCACTTCAGTGGGGCTTGTTCAGGGGATTGCTCCATCCCAGCCAGCATCGCCCATGGCAGAGAGCAACCGCGGTTTCCTCCAACACCTTCTGAGGGGCCACAAGTCGCCTACCCCAGGGCTGGAGTGTCGGCCTTAGATCCCAGCTTAATTTCCTACTCAGCAATAAATTTCACTGGATGACTGCTTCCCAAGGCTGCTGTGAGGATAGAATCCGGGATGGAAGGGGACAGGGAGGATGTGCAAGAACCATGGTTCTTCGGAAGAAGGAAATAAAAATGCCATTTTAAAAAATCCACGAGAACCATCTTCTGCAGCGCTGTTTTATTCATCTTTCCTCTAGAACAGCTGGATGAAATCTGGAAAAGCACTTTGCACAGCAAAGCCCTCATGATTCAACACCACAACCACCTCCTCAGCTCACAGAATCTCTGCTCCTGATGCCCCAAGGAAGCTTTCATCAGCCCAGTCTCCTTTGTGGACGTGCGCTGTGGGGATTTGCATCCGAAGAGGACGGACAAGTGACTTCTGCATTCCATGCGTCCTGATATTGTGCCAGGGGGGAAACTTGCACATGACTGATGCAAAGAGATGCACAAGCTGTTCTGATGCAGGAAGCATGTGCCTGCGTGACAGAGGAATCAGGTTCCTGCTCTTTTCTGATGGTCTCCTTGTGTCTGGCATCTACACTGCAGGCAGTGGCAAGATGGGCACCGCTGTGCCTACCGGACTGGGCCATTGCAGATGAGTGCAGATTTTATTTGGGCTGATTTTTTAATAAGAACCAACAAGAATTTGCAACTGTCTCCATATATAAGATGAAAACGTGAGAATTTTTCATTTTTAACTTTTCAACTGAATGGAGGAGAATACCAAATGGAGGGTTTATCTATTCCTACATGACATCATGTTTTTTGTTTATTTTATTTTATTTTTTTACCTTTCATGTTCTGCCTCCTCACTGAGCTCCAGGTATTCAGCCACCTCCTCTGGAGTTAGAACTGTCTCCTGGTCATCATCGAGAGATACAGAGATCGAGGCTGTGGAGAGACGGCTATACGGAAGAGTAGGGAAGGTCTGACTTTCTTCCAGGGACTCGCTGGCTGCCTGCAGAGAATCTGTCTCTTGTTGCTGCTGGGGCATGAAGCTCACAGGTGGATCCAGGTAGCATGTACAGGTGCACCTGTGAAGCATAAAAATAACCAGCAGGACACCATGAGTGGCTCGGGCAACAAACCATTGTAGCTCATCCTTTTTTGAAATCATGGCAAAGCAATTACTGACAGTATAAAAAAGCAGCAGCCCTTGGCTCCAATCCCAAAGTGCCCCTGACACCACTCTGAGTTAAAAGAAAGCTCATTTAGGGTTGGATACTGACCAAATCCAGACCTGCTTAGATTCAGCAGGAAGACGACACCGTGTGCTTTCTCCAGACTACGCAGCTGTGCCTGTGAATGATGGGCTCTACCACAAGGCAGGTGAAGCGAGTGTGGCGGGTTAGGGCAGTGTGGTGGTTTGAGAACTGTGCTGGGACTCAGGAGACCCCTCCTGCCGCCCCCGCTAAGCCGCAAAGCTCATTGAATGCCTGTGGGTCAGGGACTAACCCTCGCCCTAACCTAACGTGCTGCCCAGAGCTGTGGTGAGGATACGATGGAGATGAGACAGCCACCAAAGTGTGCTGGGCTTCCTTGGAGAGGAAAGGCAGGATGGGAAAACAATAATGAATGGAAGAGTCAGTGATGGGAATCAGTGGCTTTGTGTGGCAGATGATGAGCAGGGGCAGTGGCAGCACCAACAAAACCTTGGTTGCTTCATGAGCCAAGCAAGGGAGCAGCTGCGCATGCATGTCCCACACCTGCCGTGGCCCCCTGACCAAGCCTCAGGTGTAGGTGAGGGACGTTGCCCTCTTGCTGGTGCTGAAGTGAATTCAACCACATGTGGGACAGGCAGGGGTACCATTTCATCCTCTGCCTCAGGTGGCACAGTGTCTCAGACCTCACCTGCCATCCGAATCCGAAATGCCAGTTGACGGACCACAGTGGCCTTTCTTGGTGGTCCAGCAGCAGGAGACAATCCAGGCAGGGCAAGTCATCCAGCATAACGGGAGAGCTTAGGGCCAAAGCTTTGGTCTGTCCCTCTGGGGTCTCCCCTTCTATCGCCTTTCCCACCAATCAGTTTGGTGGTTTCCTAGTTCCTCCACATCTCCCCACTGCTCTAAAGGGAGAAAGGCCTCTCCTAAGGCTGCTAATGCCACAAGGAGCTTTAAGTTAACCTTTGGTCCTGCTGCTTGGTCCTTGGTCCCACCCACCAATGGGATGCATGCCCTGAGGGTTTCTCCGAATCTCTCAGCCCTTGGCCTGCCAGAGCTCCAACACCTCTGGTTGTTGGCTGCACTGATGGCTGTCTGGAACATTTTCAGGGAAAGTGCCAATACCTCCCTTTCGCCACTCCCTACAGGCCCCATGTAGAGCCCCATGTAGAGCCCAGGCATGCCCTGGAGATGTAAAGTCGGAAGACACAGCTGGAGCCTTGGCAGGGCCTTCCCTACCCAGTGCACCTGCTCAGCTAAAAGTGGTTTGTTTGGGGCAGTGGGAGGAAAGTAACGAAAAAAGAAGGATGCTTTGATTGCTTCCAACCACTCCTGGAGGAGCTGCAGGGGGAAGGAAAGGGCAGCAGGCAGGTGGGAGTGGGCAGGGCGAAAGTGGCAGAACAGCCAGAGGAGGCAAAACTAAGTGAGGCAGCACGTGAAGGCTCTTCAGTGGGAGCTCACGATTAGAATTTAACTGTGAGCCTCTCCATATATCTGCATGAGACATCCGCTGACGTGCAGACGATATGATACACATAATACAGTACTCTAGAAAGCAAGCAGCAAAATAGTCATCAAGGGTGTATCCAGTCCATACTTTTAATAGATTTAAAACGCTATAGATTTCATAGGATAGAATAGTAGAGCAGGAAGGGTCCAAGAAGGCCATTGGGCCCAGCCCCCTGCTCAGTGCAGGTCTCCAGCTTAAACATCCCTTTCAGTTGGCTGCTCAGCTGCCCCTGGGGTGCCTCTAGTGTGGGAGAGCCCACCACCTCCCTAGGTACTTGGCTCCAGTGCTGTACTGCTCTAACAGTCAGGAAGTGTTTCCTGCTCTATAGCTGGAATCGGCATCCTGTAGCTTGAGCTCATTGTTCCGTGCTCTGGACGCTGGGACAATGAACAGGAGATGCTGGCCCTCCTCTGTGTGACAGCCCAATGACCTCCCTAGGTCACTAGTTCCATTGCCACACTGCTCCAACAGTGAGGAAGTTCTGGCCGCAGTCTTCCAAACTATGATGCAATTCTCTTCCGTTGTGATAATTATTTCTGATTTTGCACCTGTTCATATAAATTAGCAAGTACAGATGTGATGTGCGCAGTGGCCACTTTTTGGGTTAGGCTGCCACTGTGGCCCTCCCATCACTGGAAGGCCACGTACCTCTCCAAGCCAAGCATGTGATGGACACCATCCGTGCCATGCGGCAGCACACAGGAAATGCTCCGCAGCGCGTTCTCTCCAGCAAACCCTGCCCTGCTCTCCTCTGCAACAAAATGTATTTTCAATAGAGCAGCCAATTATTGTGTAATTGCCCATAAATTTAGAATGACACTGAAATTATTTCATGCACAGATCCAAGGACAACGTTTTCTCTTCATAAATGTGGGATTCAAGGGGCAGCGAAAAGGCTGGAGTCAGCTGATATTTCACTAATGGATTGATTTACTTTCCTGGCATGATAATTGTCCATTTACTTAAATAGCCAGGCACTTGTACAAAGGCCTGGCCTATTAAGTGAAAAAATGCTCCCCCCTAGCAAGGCACAGATTCTCAGCTTGATTTGTAGCTTTTTAAGTGCAACGTAGGTAGAAGGTATGGGTGGAATTCATTTCCCATCCACCCACCCAGTCAGAGATGATCCATCATACCAATGCCTGCAGATAATATGCAAAGCATTCAGGTTCCCCTTCACAGTGCTGGGAGGGGGTGCGCATACTGGGCGATTTATTCCAAGCACCACCTGGCATGATTGGAAGATGAGTCAGCACGGAAGCCACCTCGGCGCAGCTGCAGCTTGCTTCCCCATCATGAGGTGTGTGACTACAGGAACGGCTTCCGGAGCACAGAAGAGCTCCATTGCTACAGGTGTGTCCTGGGCTGATTTCAGGGTTCAGCATGCTGATTTCTGTTCTGGAGAAGCACCAGGGGCTGCATTCCACAGGTGGAGCTGAATGCAAAGGCGGTGGGGCAAATAGGACCAGCATGTCATGGCTGAAAGCTCTTACACCCTGCAGCTAAGCCTTGGCATAGATATTTCAACCTTGCAGAGTGGGGTGGAAGCCAGGGAGGGGACAGGGCAAAAGCTCAGAAGCCACAGGTTGATGGGTGGTTGGGGGAGTGAGTGGGGTCAAGGGAATGGGGCTGGACTTTGGGGGCCTCAAAAGTTTGGATCGGAACCTGAAATTCTGTACCCCTGGCATAAGGGCAATCAGCTTCCTGAAATGTGGCATCCACTGTTGGCATTCAAAGGTGTGCTCAAAAGAGAGAACAAAAGCCATGTGAGGTGGGCAGTCCTCAATCACCAGAACTTGTGCTCAGGCCTCTCCAAGCTGATGTCCTCCAGGCGTGGAGAGTGACAACTTTCAAGATATTGAGCCAGCATGGTCAGTGGGTTAAGCAGGCTGGTGGGAGCTGTAGTTCAACACAACTGGAGGATATTAGCTTGGGGAAAACAGCTGGAGCCTTTGCAATCCCTTGTGTTACCACTCACACAGTTTTGCAGCCTGGACATATGGTACTTCCAAACAGAGGTTGGAATACCAGAAAGTTGACTTCAGCTCTTGGGTAGTACAACCACAGGACTGCAGAATGCACATACCCATTTTATAATGATGGGATATGTCTTCCATGACATGATATCCCTCTATAAGTCCCTCAAAGGCTGTCACAAAGAGGGAGGTCAAGATCTCTTCTTGCTGATGCTAGAATGTAGGACACAGAATAATCAATTCAAGTTGGGACAGCCCAGATTCAGGCTGGACATCAGGAAAAGCTTCCTCACTGTCAGAGCAATACGACAGTGGAACCAGCTGCCTAGAGAGGTGGTGGACTCTCCCAGGTGGTGGTCTCTAGACATTCAAAAAGAAACTGGACAGCCCTCTGAGTGGGATGGTGTAACGTGGTGTCCTGCAACAGCAGGGGATTGGACTCAATGGCCTTCATGGCCCTTTCCAACTCTACTATTCTAGGATTCTATGATTCCCTACCCCCAGTCTAAACTTTATGGGAGACCTTGTGCACTTGGGAGTGAGCACGAAGGAGTGCCTGTGTTTGGGATGGGGTGCAGCTGATGAAAGTACAAACACTCGATCCGTTTCTTCCATAAGCATGCTTAGACCCTTCAAAGCACACATTCAAGAAAGAAAGAAGATCATGAAAAAGTGATATTTGAACTGTGATAAACTACAAAGGCACTTCAGGGATGCGCTTACTCGAGCTGTCTGCTGCGATCCTGGGGAGCCTGGAAACCCGGAGGAACAGGTGGAGGAGGTGGCAGCAGGCTAGCGACGTTCTGTGTAGTGCTCCACTTTGAGAACTTTGGGGAGCTGTATGTTTTCAGCACCTTTTTGGTCTCTCCTAGAAGCAAATACAAGGAAAAGAATGGTTAAACATTTCTGAGTTGTCTGTAATCACCAGTTATTAAAGTCATCCAGATAAGGGGCAACAGAACTGTTTCCACCCTCTCAGTCAGCTAATTCTTCCCCAGTCCACTGATTTACTGATTCAGATCCTCAACCATATACGATTCTTGTTAAGGGCAAGAACACAAAGCTTAGGAGAACTCAGTGGTAAAGAACTTCCTTTGCACATGGAAGGTCCTTTGTTCACTCCCCAACATCTTTGAGTTAAAGAATCAGGGAACAGGAGATCGGAAAGGCCTCTGCTCAGAATCCTCAAGGACTGCCACCAGTCATGGCAGACACAGAAACAAAGAAACAGAGCTAATCAGAAGGGGTCTCCCGGGCCATCTAGTCTGACCCCTGGCTCCAGCCAGCTCCACTCATGACATGCCCACCATGTGCATGTCAAGCCTACCTTGAACACCCTCCCTGATGGGACCTCAACCACCTCCCTTCAACCAGCCCCACAGTGAAGGGCACATGGCAGACAATGGTGGGCACAATGGTTTCAATATGTTTGTTTTCCTGCAGAAGAATGAGCATGGGAGGCGTGCACTACCTTTGCATATTTACTTTCTTTACAAGTACGTGAGAGCATAACCGGAGGTTTACAGGCAGACCTTCATGGAAGACGACCTGGACAGCAACTTAAGAAGTTCACTCTGCCCCAACACTACATTCCTGGTCTGTGGTGGCTTTCAGGAAATATTGAATTCTGCACTTCATGTCCTTGCAGGAGCAGGACTCTTGAAATGTAATACGCATTATTTATCTTATCTTAAAATGTAGCAGCCCAGCCTGCCTGCTCAGCAGAACCCTGGAAGTCTGTCCCAACATACTGCCCTGATGGCACCACTGCAAGGGTTTGATCTAGCACAGTCATAGTTTCTCCATGGTGGAACCACCGGTGGGAATGCAAAAGGGTGTCAGGGAGAGCAAGTGATGAACAATTAAGGCCCAGGCAAGCTCCTCCACAAGGGTCTGTGCCCATTCCACCTGCAGACCTGTTTCTTTCTGCTCTGTCTGTTCCTCTCCCATCCGATACTGATTAGACCCTCATTCTAAACCACCAAGAGATCTTAAACCATCAGGAAGCCCATCAATCATCAGCCAACAGAGAGAGAGAGAGAGAGAGAGAGAGAGAGAGAGAGAGAGAGAGAGA